GTCGGTGGAGAGGAGGCTCGAGTACGCCGAGCGTGCCAGGACGGAGCTCTCGGCGACGGTGGCCGAGTCTGCGGCGGCTGCCGCCGCCGCCGCTGCCGCCGCCGCGTCGGCCTCCACCGCTGCTTCTGAGACGGCTGCCTTGCAGCAGCAGCAGCAACAGCGGCAGCAGCAGCAGCAGGAGCAACGGCAGAAGCAGCAGCTGGAGCAACAGCGGCAGCAGCAGGAGCAGAAGCAGAAGCAGAGGCAGCCACGGCAGCAGGCCGATAGTCCGACAGGCGTGCCGGTTACGGCGGCAGCGCCCGCCCTAGAAAACGCACCTTCGGCCGCTGCAACCGCCCTTTCGCCTGTGGCAGAAGCGGTGCCTGCGGCAACGGCGGCGGCGGCGGCTTCGCCGACCCCTAGAAAGAAGGCCGCGGTGAAGAAGAGCAGGAAGGCCGTGGGATCAGAGGCGACTGGCAGTGCTGTCACCGACAAGAAGAGCAAGGGTGTAGCCGCGTCGGACGCCGGCAAAGCAGACGTTGCGCCCCCGCCGCCGAAGCCGCGCAACAAAGCGACCAAACGGGCGCGTGCAGTCGACGAGGAAGAGCACGGAGAGGACGAGGGCCCGCCTGCGAAGGTGGTCCAACGCCGCAAAACCGCGCCCGCCAAGCCTGCCGCTGCCGCCCCCGACGGAAACAGGCTGGCCACCACCGGCAAGAGTTCTTCGTCTACCGACAGCGTGCCTGCCGTGGCCCCGTCGGGTACTGTCCACGCCGCCGCCGGCACCACCAGGCGCGGTGGCAGGAAGCGCAAGGAAGTCAACTACGCAGAGACGAGCGTTAACCTTACCCCGGACAGCTCGGACGAGGACGTGGCAGCGGCGCGGTCGTCGAGACCGCGGCCGGGGAAGCGGAGCACCGCCGCCGCCCGGTCTCACCGGTCGGTTACCGCCGACTTGTCCGACGAGGAGGATGACGAGATGCAGGCCCCTCTCGCGGAGCCGGCAGCGCCCGCCGCTCGCAGTCGCAAGAAGCCGCGCTCCGGCGGCGGCGGCGGCGGCGGAGACAAAGCCAGCGTCCTCAGCACTGCCGCTGCCCTGGAGGCAAGCACGACCGTGGGAGCGGCAAGCGGGGCCTCGACGAAGAGAAACACAAGCGCTAAGGGGAAAGGGAAGGCGGAGAGTTCGCCGTCTATGGCGGCGGGAGTCGATGGCCGTGGTGCGGGTGCCGCCGCCGCCGCCGCCACCGCCGCCACCGCCGCCGCCGGCCCTCGTGGAGGCGAGTCGGAGAGCGATAGCCGGGAGGACAGCGGTAGCGCTTCATCGTCGGCGCCGCCCGCGCCGGAGAAGCAGCAGCAGCAGCAGCAGCAGCAGCAGAAGAAGAAAAAACGACGCTCCACGAACGGCAAGCGTCGCAAGGCTGGCGGCGAGGAGGACGCTGCTGCGAGTGGAGGGGGGGGTGACGGCTCTGCAGGGGGTGGTACGGCGGAAATCCCGGAGGGTCATGTTTCCATTTCGGCCAAGAAGAGGCGGGACGGGGGCGGCAAGAGTACGGGCCGAGCGTCGACGGCCGTGCAAGAGCCTGACAAGGTGTGTGGGATAAGCAGTGAAGTTGGGGAGAGGGTTGAGGTGTTTTTTTGTGTTTGGTGTGGTTTCGCTCATTCAGTAAAGATGGGGGAAAGTCTCGAAGGAAGGAGTTTGGCTTCCCCTAAGTAGCACGTCGTTTGTGCGATGTCTCACCCTGTTCATTTTCAGAGGTATTTGCTGGTGTCTGGTTGGTACTGATTTGCGCCTGGTGCTCGCGCGTTCTCGCAACGCGCGTTGAGATAATCAGGCTACAAGACTCGACATCAGCGGCTCGTTGGTACGGCCTGCAGCTCGTCAAGGCTGCGGAACTCGATCACCATTTTTTTCACCGAAGGGTCGCGGTCGCCCTTGCCCTTAACGCTCACCCCCCCCCCCACCCACCCCCTCTCCTGTACAGGTCCCCTCCGCTCCGAAACCGTCGACAAAGGGGAAAGGAGAGGACCTCCTTACGACGAAGCTCAGCCCAATCGCGCCTCCCCCGAAGCGGCCCCGCAAGCTGCTCGGCGGGGGTACCAGCCGCTGCAAGACCCCCCAGCCAAAGAAGAAGTCCAAAGCTTCGAGGACTGACGAGATGGAGGAGGAGGAGGAGGAGGACGAGGAGAAGGAGGAGGGTAATGATTCCACGATGTGCCCCGCGCCTCCTCCGCCGCCAGCGAGAGGTGTTGGACCAAAATCAGGGGGTGGGGTCGGGCCGAAGTCTGGTTCGGCGAATGTCGCGGCTGCCAGGGGGATGGTGGCGGGCGGAGTTGCTACAGGGGTGCGGCCGTCGCCGGCAGTGGGCGGCAACAGCGGCGGCGGCAGCGGCAGCAGCGATGCCGCCGCAGTAAAACCAGCGTTCAAACCTCTTAAGGTGAACGCGGTCGTGAAGAATGCAGGGGGGGGGGTGGAGATTGTGGGTGTGCTACTACGGTAGGTGTGATATCGGTGACCTGGGTCATTGGGGGAGACGTGGATTTCTCTCGCGCGAGTGGGGGGGCGGTTGTTGGTATACTATTTGTTCGTGGTGACCGTGTTGCTTTTGACTCTTGGTGGAGTAGGGCAAAGGCTTTTCAAGCTTGTGGTTGCAGAGGTTTCGTTTTTTGTGGTCGATGGACGTTGGACCATGGGGAAACTTAGAAGCTCGAACAAATGATGACGGTGCAGGGATCGCTTCTCTCCAACGAACGTGATTCGTGACCTCATTCGCCCATTTGTGTGACCCTGTTTTTTTTGTCGCCGCAGCTGTCAACGACCTCCATCCTTGCCATGAGGGGCAAGTCCACATCGAAGACCGCGTTGTTCAAGGGCTTCCTGGACCCCAAGAAAGGCTTCAAGGTCCCCAAGCTCAAGGTTGGGGCGAAGCGAGGTTAGCGGTAGAGAGAGGAGTTCTCCTCCGATCTTCTTCCATGGCCGCCGCCGTAGTAGTGGGTGGGATAACTAAAGCCTCTGTCCGGCGTGTGGAAAGAGCCTGCGGCAGGCACACAGGGGGTAGTAGTGTGGTGGTTTCTCCTGATGCTGGACTACCCGGAGCAGGATTGCCATGCAAACGCGGGGCTCCCCCAAGTCCCACGACAGTGATGAGTGTACAGTCGTGTTACCACCCAGTATTTAGATGTTGCGGTAGTTCGACTGGCTGTGTCGTGGCGGGGATGCACATCTGCGCGCCCACGGCGGTGTATCAGGAAATGATTTGGCCTGATCGACGAGTCCTTTGGGTCGACAGTACGCACAGAGTTTCCTGCATACCTTTCATGGTTCGCTTTGTTTCATAAGTCCGTGTGTGGCGGCTAACTAAGCATAGAGGTCCTATTTCGAGATCTTTCAATCAATGGGGGAAACGTTATTTAGGTATTTGGGTATTTTCCAACTGATATTTTTTTTCACGTCCGCCAGCAGAGTTCAAGAAGGCGGCGCAAGGCTAATTTTTTTTCCAGACATGTGTGCCACTTGCTGTATAAAAATACCATGGCATGCTGGTGGTGGAGTACCTGTAAGAATCGATCGATGTTCAATAAACAAGTAGGGTGAAACTTGTTCGACTCAAGTGGAGGCTAAAATAAGAGCACGGAGAGTGCGTGGGAATAGGATGGTCGGAGCGCCTCTCGAGTACGGAGGGTGGGTGGGCAAAGAATGTATCGGAGAGCGTTTGAAGCTTGCGGTCGGTGAGGAATTCGGGAACCAACTACACGCGGTCCCTCTTGCTGGCTGCACATCCAAGTGAAGCGTGGGTTGCTGCGCCTTCGTAGCACAGTTCACGTCCGCGCTTCAAACCTCTACAATCAATCTAATAATAGTTTCGGTCAAGGATTGGGATTATTGTAAGTGCCTAGGGTTATGCTACGAATGGCCGCGATGTAGGTTTTGGTGAAAGGGTAAGGGCTCAGAAATGGTGCTCATGTTCTTACATTTTTTTTTTTCGAGGCCATATCAATTTCTCAAGTGGCAAGTGTTGAAGTGCGGGCACTACATAGTTGTAGTCTTCGTGGCTCATTGCTTCGTTTTCTAGGAAAGCCCTTTTTTTTTTTTTTCATGTACATACCGAGGTGTAAGCGACCAACGGTATACACACACACACACACGCCTGACTCGAGTTTCGTTTGTTTATGCACGGGGGGCGGTAAGGTGATTGGTTGGGCGATTGTTTCGCGGTAGCGTAATCTGTGGCAAGATTGATTTTCTTGAGCTTTGGCTTCCTACCTAGCTTTGGACGACCGGGTACGTACGCTGAACTTTTGTCTTCATTTCAGTCGGTCCTACGCTAGCTGCATGAGGGTGGGTCAGGGAAGTCGGGGACGGGGGGGGGGGCGGGGTACTCATTGTCGTGCATGCCGTAGTCGTTAGACCATTGACCTCGCATCCCTACGAAACCGGGACGGAGCACGCCGGGTTCTCACCGGACCAGGCTCTCATGTCACCAAGCGCAATGCGCCGTGAGGTATTCGGCGGGTCGCATGAAGGGTTCGCTGCATCCTGCTGAGGATGTTTGGCATCTTGTGCTTACTTCCTTGCGTACGGATGACAGCTTTAGGGGAGGTGGGAGCTGGTTTTACTCATGTAAATGCATGCCGTAGTCGTAAGACCATTGGCCTTGCATCTCGCATCCCTATAATGCCGGGAACGGAGTACGGTCGGGCTTACGGGGGCCGGGGAGAGAAAAAATGGGAAGTTCGCCGTTTTGGGGTGGAAATGTTCAAGTTTGATTGCTATTTATTAACGTCGTGCTGTGCTTGGAGTACGACCATGTCGTGCATTGATTCTTCGTGGGTGCCAGGGCAGGAAGAAGGTTTTTCAGAACAAGTATTTTTTTTCTGCGGGCGATTCCAACAGGGTCCTAGAGTATTTGTGGTACAATAATAATCAATGTTTCGTGTGATGTGTTTAGGGAGGCAGGGAAATTGGTGGGGTTAGCTTGGCATCTTCCTCCAGTAGTATTAGCTCCGATATTTTTTTGAAGGCGGGGATTATTGGGGATGTTGAGATTTTCCGTTTGGGTCCAAACACCCAAGCCACTCGCAGTATTTGAGTATTTGGGGGGGGGGGGGGGTTGCGTTCGGGAGGGAGACGAAATATTCCCGAAGCGTTCGCGTTTTCATTTAAGACGATCACACAACGGCTGGTGTTTCGATTATTATGTCGTT